TAATATTTGAGTTCCTCGTATTAAAACAATGAACATATAAATTTTTTGGAAAGATCAGGCATCGGCAACTAGACGTTTACTACGGGCCAAACATACGCTTTTGTGTATATAAAGAGAAATAATCAACCGATTTCATTGAAATTTAATATATAAATTCCTCGTATGAAAACTATGAACATATAAATTTTTTGGAAAGATCAGGGCTCGAAAACTGATCTGCGGGCCGATTTTACATTTTTCACCATATCTACGGAACGAATTGATGGAGTTTCTTGAAATTTGATATTTGAGTTCTGGTTGTTACCGAAACTTACTGGCGAGCATTTCAGGGGATTCGGGTAGCACAAAGCGAAACTCTACTAAAAGCCAAATTTACATTTCCTAGGTATGTTAACTATAAGCTTACTAATGTCCTAAAAATTGGAAAGAAGTATTTAACAGACATTTTTATAATATTCTGTAACACTTTCACTTAACTAGACAATACACATTGCGGTCGGTTATGTGCTGACCACATCAGATTTTTTATATGAAGGGTTGAAAAAAATCCATTTTTCCACTTGAAATTTCATTTTACTTCCAATTTCTCTTCTTTTTTTTTTGGCTTTTAAATTTTGCTACTTTCCGAATTTTTTTCTTTTTTCCTTTTTTTATTTTACTGTTTTTAATATCTTTTAAAAAGGGTTTTCCTATAAAATTTTTATTGTTTTATTAAATTTTTTCATATACCTAAAAGTTGACTTTATTGTTTGGCTTTCTTACCTTTTATAGTTACTCTATATAGAGTTACGTTATTACTTTGTTGTGTATGTGAAAACTGTTATAATAACATAGTAACATGATTTTACCTATACACACATAAAATTTTAATTGAGTATTAAATTTGTAAAATTAATTGTAGTTCAGACAATCATCTATTGAGAATCTACTTAAATAACTTTTAAAGTGTAGGTGTATATAAATGAATATTTTTTTACATGTATAATGCATTTGCCCTGTTAAGTAAAACATTTATGGAAATTTTTTTTTTCCCGATTTTGAAAATGAGAATATTTTTTTTTTATGTTTTGTAGTAGGAGTACTAAATGTTGTTTATAATGTTTAATTGTAGTCGAAAATATAGGAGTCATTAAAATGAACTTGATGATATGCTTTTATTTAGAGCAGCATAGTCTCTATAACCAATGTTATAAAAGACCCCAGGCAATGAATATTATTTTATTCAAATAAGAAAATGTTACACTTCATAATTTTAGATTTCGAATACGACATTTATATTCACTTGGACTTCATTAGCGATTTATAGTTAAATCCAAAAGGAAATTGTTCTTATGCATATTATCTTCCAAAGAAAACATTTCAATATCTGTTCAATTTGAGTGTCCAAAATAAATTTGGAATTTATGATGTTAAAATTTTATTATCATATTTTAAGCAATTACGACTGGATAGCTTATGTAATTTATATCAGTTTATTTGAAATTTCAAAACTGGCTAATTGGATAAGAATTTAAAATATACTATTAAACAAAAAACCAACGAAATTTTTAATCACTTTTACGTAAAATTGTTTAAATTTTTTACACCCCAAACGGTGTTATATTAACTTATTTATTTGGAATGGTTCATTTATATAAGAAATCAACAACTTTCAAAATATGTATGTATTATATAAATTCTATATGAGATTGAATAACTTGTTGTAATTCTCTGATACCTGATCTAACCTCTGATAAAAATAGATTTGCAGAAAAATCTTAAAATCACTGTACGTATTAGGTTAATTTCTGTAAAGAAAAGTGTTTTATGACAGTGATTTATGAATAGTGTTAAAACTCACTATATTGTAAGCAAATATAATATACTTAATGAATACGACCCTGTTATTATTTCAGTATATTAGTTTGCTGACGTTCGTACGGACAAATATTAAAGTTGCTTTTATTGATTACTTTTTAAAATAATTTTTTTCGATGCAACTCTAATATTCATGTCAAAATGAATGTATTAAGAAAAAAAATCGGTTTATTTCAGTTTCTACTTTAGAAACTATAACAAATGATTAAAATTAATAAAATGAAAAGAGTACATTTTTTCACTGAAATGCCACAATTTATGTGATCAGCCTATACAAATTTTTTTATTACAAAAATAGTACATTAAATTTCAAACTACTAAAAGTTTTAACCAATCGGGAACATAACTATATAATGTCATAGAATTATTTTATTTTTAATTTTTGCAAAAAAAAATTTTATTATTGTTTTGTAAGTGAAATGAACAAAAGATTTACCTTTTTATCAAGTGCCAAAAACAACAATCTTTAAGTTTTGTATAATATTCAAGGCTCAAGAAAGGTAAAGGTGAATATCAATATATTTATATTCGTGTATATAAGAGAGAAGAAAATCTATTGTCAAAATGGTATATATGAGCACCTATATTATATAAAGTGCCTATAGGAAATGCCTATATAGTATTAAGAAAGTGTGTTGAACTCAAATAAACTCATTTTATACGAAAACAGCAAATATTTACCAGAAAACAAAAAAAAAATATTTAAAGGATAGAAAAGTACAATAGAACAACGCCTAGTAAAAGTTGAATTATATTGTATAGATAGTTATAAAGAATTGAGTATAAAGAGTAAGTGAAGGAGAAAAGATGAAAAAGTTTTTAAAGTTACATCATGTGCAAAAATGAAAAATTAATGAATATCCTGTTTAATTTTTCCTTTTTTTTCCCCTTCTCAGTTTTGTCATCATTTTCATTTTTTTTCCATCTTGAAGTTCAGTTGTTAAAGTTGAATTAGGTTATAGGTATTCATTCATTTGTACTATGATTTTTGTTTTTATTTTTTTAAGATTTTTAAGAATTTTGACATCGACAAACAATGTACATACACCTATACAACATACATAAACCTATACATTTCATTTATTAAAATATTATTTTTTTTGAAAAGTTATTTTTTTGCTCTGATAAATTACAAAAACTATAAAGTTTTTTTTTTCCATAATTTTCTTTTCTTTTTGTATGTATGTGCCACGATCCAATAATTTTTTAAAAACATATTTATTTTTTGGGAAACTTTAGAAATATGAAAGAGTTTGCCGTCATTTTATTTCTTTTTTTTTTTTAGATTTTTAATAATTTTTCAAAATTTTTTATATTAATATGCCAGCGATTTTGATATATAAGAAAAATTGAAAAGTTTTTTAAAAAATTAATATTGGGTTTTAATTTTTTTTTTTTTTTTAAATTTTCACCTGGTTTTTAAATCGGAATATAAGTATTTGTGGCAATATTGTAAAAATTCATTTTATAACTATTTTCTCTCCTGACTATACAAAAATTTCGAAACTGATAAATAAAATCTGCAGTCAATGTTGAAATAATATTGAAAGTTTTAGGGTTTTAAATATTACAATATTGTTAGTAATCGTCTGATAGAAAAGTATTTTGCTTCTTATAGTTATTACAATTATATAATGAAGTATTCATAAATAAATATTTCTTGCCTCACAATCGCTATCCTTGAAAGTTTCAATGAATATTAATACGCAATTTAGAATTTAAAAAAAAAGTATGTATAAATTTATGAAGAATTAGTAATCAGACGATTTTCTTATACACCAAACAGCAATTGTCATGAAAATTAAAATTCTGAATCCAAGCATAGAAGAGTCGGAGAGAAAGAAAGTTATATTTGAACAGCTCCTTAATAATAAACTTTTCACCATCATGAATTCTCGTCGATTTTCTTACACCTTGTATTGTATTTTAGCTATAAACGAGAAAAAATAGAGTTGACCTTGTCAACTCTGTGATACCCGTACGAATTTGTTATCCCATGTGCAAATAAATATGCCATAACTGACTATTACCACATTAATTAATGCAAAATTTCAGTACTGTGTTCTTCAAAATACTGTGTGTGCCAAACTAATATTGTGGTTGTATGGCAGCTACCAGAAAGAGCCAAGAAATTTTAACGAATTTTATCAAGCACATCGGCCCTACTAATATAATCACTTGTGTGAAATTTCAATTTTGTTTCAAAATTTCAAAATTTGGTGAAGTTAGCTCAATTAGTTTTTGAGTTATCACTGGGCCGGACGAACGGGCAGACAAACAGACGGACGGACAGACGGACAGACAGACAAATAAAGCTAAATCAACTAAGAATTCGACGCTGACCAAAAACATACACTTGAGTCTATATCTAAGATCGTTATTTCTTAACGTTACAAACGGTAAGTTAAATTTAGTATACCCTTCGAACATAAATATAAAATAAGTATACGCTAATCATATAATATCATTAAAATTCCTATATCGTAAATAATTTCATACAAAATAATTTCCAACATCTTTAGGAATGGTGATGTTCGAGTTTTGTCAAATTCTTTTTCCTAAACCAATTGGAAAACAGTACCAAACTTCTACATTCAAAATTGAAGACTGAAATTTCATACTCAAATAGAACTTTATTAAATTATTTTTTCTATACATAAAAAAATTTTTATTACCTTCCCCTCCTCTACAAGTTGTAACATTCAAAATCCTAATAATGCCATATTTAGTATATTTATTGTAACGGAATTACAAATACATTTTTTTAAATTCTACAAAAGAAGAAAAAACGAAACTGGTTCCCCCTATCGCCCAGTTAGATGCTAAAAACTAAATTATCGTGTTGGATTTAACTATATTCAGTAAACGTTAAGGCGTTAAAAAAATGGTTGTCTCATTTTTTCTCATCCTAAATGTATGCAACAGTTTATATTTTTGTATATGAATGAAAGTAATTTAAATAGCTTAGTAAAGTGTTTCCAATATTTTCACTTGATCATACAACTTAATTTTTTGAATAAGTACAATATGTACTAGATTTTACAACATTATGCTATGCCACTACATCACACATAATACTAAATTTTTGAATTTAAAAGCATTATGAACTCACTAAATAAATATTATTTTCCGATTTTTTACAGGAGTCATCATAGATTTCTAAATAAAAAAATTTCTCGAATTTACAAAAACTAATTCAATTGATACCAGGTATAAGAATTCAAAAAATATAAAAAACAAAAACAAACAAAAGAAAAACCAAAAAATCAATATAGAAAATTCGACATGAAATCGGTATGATAAATAGAAAAATTTATTTGATGATGCTGGACCATACAAGATCACAACAGCTCTGGTTACGAGCATCAATATGGATAATAATTGTCTTATATCCAATTGAAACGAATATGGAAAATGTTTTTGTACAAACACTATCAAAAGAAAAATCAAAATTTAATGGTGATTTACATCATGGATCATCATCGTCATCATCGTCATCATCATTTCATGAAAATAATGTTGTTGTTGAATGTCCAACATTTGCACAAAATTCTGTATGTCCTTGTTATAAATTTGAGGAAGGTAAGTTGATAAAGCAAATATTTTCTTTTTTACTTTTCTTATTTTAAAATTTTAGTGACCATCAAAAAAAAAAAATTTAATTTTTTACAAAATTACACCACAATGTTACGTAAAGGTGCTAAGAATAGTAAACTGTTCTTGAAAAGACTCACAAAATCGTAAAATTTTTATTCAAATACTTCCAACAGTTTTTGTGCATAGAACACCGACTTAAATCTAAAGCTTAAGCGAAGTTAATTGTAAATATTGCAATGTCTTAAACTTGCCTATGATGGTTCTGATATTTAAAAATGTTGTGCTAAATAAAACAGAGGTCCTCTTACAAATAGAGAAGATTTGCGTGTCAGTTCACAAAATCACTTTTTATCCTATTTTCGGTATGATAATGACAAACACTCAGGTATCTTACGACAATAGTTTTTAAATAAATGAAAAAGGTTTGACGTACTTAATCCCAATGGGTCGAACTGATTTAGTTTTCTACAAAATTTATACTTTAGAGCAATTTTTAATTTATTTTCTATTGACATGTGAGTTTAAATAAACATGTGAGAATTTTGTTTGATCTAACGAAAATTTATTAAAGTTGGATGTGTACTAGACCGTTGGATTTTGATTGATGAAAAAAATTAAAGGGTATCGAATCCTCATCGAACAAAATCCGCGAACAACGCTTAATTAGTAAACACTGAGCTTTGATTTCGGTATTCAAAAAATTTCTTTCAACCCAATTTTTTGAATTTACAAGACCATTACTTTTTAGTGAACCGCTGAAGCGCTTTCATATCTCTAATCATTATTAATATTCCGAAATAAGCTTGTGGTTATAAAATTTTAAGCATAAATATTTGGAAATAAACGCAGATAGATTAGGCCCCAACATGTGTTTACTAAAATATCAAGAATTCGTTCAACATGAAAACAAATTTTTATTAAATTTAAAGTTATGCGAAAGCTTTTTATGCCTTGTCCAATTCTTATAATTCGATTTAATATAAATAAATTTTTTTCTACCATCATTCATCAAATACACTTAACAATTTGACTAAAAAAATTTTTTTTTCTGTTATTTTTCCTTTCTACATTTGTGGTCATTTATAAAATTACATTGGTTTTTAATTTTCTTTGTAACGCACATTTAACTTCAATCTCAAAAAAAAATTTTTATTTTATTATTTTATTTTATTATTACAGGACTTTTTCTTGAATGTCCCGGAACAACAGCTATGTCATTACGTTCAACATTACAGATGATAACGTCACCAATACAATCATTATCTATATATGATTTTGATCGTTCAGTCACGTCCCTGTCACAAGATGTCTTCCAGCCAGGTGTGAACATAAAACATTTACAATTTTCTCATTCACATTTAGAAACGTTGAAAGATAACAGCCTGAAAAATATACGTGCTTCCCTTGAAACTTTAAGTATTGTAAATGGAAAATTGACACAGGTAAATAATATTAATAATAAAAAAACCAAAAAGTGAAAAAAGAAAATTTAAAAAGAAAAACAGAAAAAAAAAACCTTAATTTTTTTTTCTTCTCTCCTACTGTTTAACTTTCTATTTATGACGTTGTAACTATTTACTCAATTTTATATCGTAATAGTATAATATTGTTTAAGTATATGTAAGTAGACATGTAACTATATACATATATGCTTATCAGCTTATGTACTAACATATGAATAATAAATATTTTAGCATGATAAACACTAAAAATCTGTGATTGAAGATGAGAAATATAGAATATAAGAGTACAATACATAGATATATACGAAGATTCATCAGACTGTTGTAACTGTCATGTACTCTTATATAAATGAATAACTTGAAAAATGTTAAATTTCATTTAATAATAAGGTTACCATACCCTTATTAATACCGAATTTTTGTTCAATATCGGTAAATTAAAATTGGAAAAATGTGAATTTAAAATGTCAATTTTTTTTTGAAAAATTTAGTTTTATTGTCTTAAAAAATGACGACAGAAAACCTCATGATTAATCGAATAGTTTCGTATTTTTTCATTAAATTTTATCTGATCTTTTGAATACACATCAGATTTTAATCAGATTCAGATTAAATTTAATATGACAGGGGCAAATAATAGGGGTTAAAAATTATTTCAAAGTAATTTACTTTATATTTTGAATGTTTGAGAAATCATATAATATTGAAGAAGTTAGCAAATGAAGGACGAAATTTAATAAAACCGAAGAAATGCAAGTAAGAGGTTATAAAGTAAATTATAAACCATTAATTATAACGAATATTCAATTAAAATATTTTTTATAGTTCATACCATTGCAAGTAAATTGAAGTTGAATTACAATTAAAGACTCACTTTGAGAAAATTAAGCGAGAAGATAGCACAATGAAAAATATATGCCTTAGTGTATGACTCAGGCTTTGCTTTTAATAGGGAAATCTCGATTTCACATATCTTAATCATTATCTTGCCTACTTGCACCAATAATTATACCCGTACGAACGTATGTTCGAAGGGTATACTAAATTTGCCTTACCGTTTGTAACGCTAAGAAATAACGGTGTTAGATATAGACTCAAGTGTATGTTTTTGATCAGCGTCAAATTCTGAGTTGATTTTTAGCTTTGTCTGTCCGTCCGTCCGTCCGTCCGTCCGATAACTCAAAAACTAATTTAGCTAAGTTCACCAAATTTTCACAAATGATTTATTGTAGTAAGTGCCAGAACCCTATTTAAATTGGACATGATCGGGGTACCGGTTCAGGTAGCTGCCATACAACTTCAAAATTTATTTGGCTATATCTCAGAAACTATAAAAGTTATGGTATTGAAATTTCACACAAACGAATATATTAGTAGGGCCAATGTGTCACATAAAAGTCGTTGAAATTACTTGGCTCCTTTTGGTACCTGCCATACAACTTCAAAAGTTATTTGGCTATATCTCAGAAACTATAAAAGCTGTGATATTGAAATGTCACACAAACGAATATATTAGTAGGGCCAATGTGTCACATAAAAGTCGTTGAAATTACTTGGCTCCTTCTGGTACCTGCCACACAACTTCAAAAGTTATTTGGCTATATCTCAGAAACTATAAAAGCTGTGATATTGAGATTTCACACAAGTGAATATATTAGTAGGGCCGATGTGCTTGATAAAATTCGCTAAAATTTCTTGGCTCTTTCTGGTAGGTGCCATACAACATCAATAGTAGTTTGGCACAACCAGTGTTTTGAATAACACATAGTACTGAAATTTTGCATAAATTAATATGGTAATACGGCAACTTAAAGTCATAGTCTGCCCCATAGTTAGTTATGGCACATTAGTTATTCGCACATAGGATAACAAATTCGTACGGGTATCACAGAGTTGACAAGGTCAACTCTATTTTTTTTCTCGTTTTTTTTATATCTTTTTTATAACGTGTTGGAATTTTTACTGATTTTTATGTTATCAGTTAAATTACACATATATTTTCGAATAAATGTTTACGTTTCGTTAAAAGAATGTAAAAAATTCTCTATGTAATTTTCTTTCTACATGTATGTATACTTATAAAAGAGTAAGAGTACTAAAAATACTTAAATTCATTTCAACAAAATGAAAATGTCGGCAGTTTTATTGTACATTATGTGCATATATACAGAATATGGTGCCAGATATAGTTTGAAAAGTCATCTGTAAAATTTGTATAATGTAATAAGGAAGACATTGAGAGTAAAAGTGCGAAAGTTAGTGTTGAGCTCTTCTTAAATTTATCTAGAATTTCATTTTTATACAATAATCTCATAAAATAACATTTATGGAGGGGTACTGTTACACATACTCGTAAGTATAGGAATATACTTATGTAATTCATTCTCTATTTTACTCTATCATAACTCTATATCATAAGATCGTACGTACGTCATTATGTGTATAAAGCGAATAAACAAAAATTACTCAAAGCGATTTAAGAAAATGATTTCTTTTTTTTTTCATGTGTGGTTGACTTTTCTCCGGTCTTATTCTTTTTTTGGATATAGAAATGACATTTTGTTTTTCTTAATATTTTTTAGGTGCAAAAAAAAATTTACTTTTTCTCAATCAGCCTTAAAAGAAATCTTTATTTAAAATGATTCGAATGTAAATATGTATATACGTATAAATGTGCACACATTCCATCATATCATTAGGTATTTTTGTATTTTACGTGACAGTAGCATTATTTTTTTTTTTTGCTTAACTCAAAATATTTGTTATATAGTGATTGAAAGCGGAAGGAAATAAATCGTATTTAGATAACTTTATTTTCGAGAATATGTCGAAAAAAAAAACAAAGAACAAAATTAAAATAGAAAAGGAAAATATTTTTTTATGCATGTGCCGGAAAATAAAAATCATTTTACATATTTTACATTTTATTCGATTTGATTATAATCGAAATATGTTTATATATGCATGTTTGTATGTGTTTAAGTAGTATAATAACAAAATATTATAACCGGGGTAACATAAATTTGTAATGAAAATATTTTGTAATTTAATATAAAAATTTTAAAGGATTAAAATATAAAAGCTTTATCATGTAATATTTTACAGCCAAATCACTTTAAAGTTGTAGAACATATAAAATTTATTAAGTATATACTTAAAATTTATATGCACGTAAAATTTTGAAGGAACTGTATATAGCTTTAGGTTATACTTTTATTAAATTAAATTAGAAAATAATTTGCACTTTCCGAAATTAGTTTAAAAGCAAAAAAATTTATTTGACATGATTTCAGTTAAATATAACCATATAATGTTCAGTCATTCAAACTAAAATTATGAATGATCTCAATGAAAATAAGGAAAATTCAATCAAAACCATTGTTACTCTACTATTTTTGTAGTTTACTTTAAGTAAATATTTTTCCTCATTTTCGTCATTGGGGAATGTGAACGAAATGACTATCCATACAACCATACTACAATCTCGACTCACGAATTCGAAATTCTGTATTCTGCATAAGACAATTAAGGCAAGAGAGAATGATATTTTATTCTTCCAGAAAAGAATCGAAATGCACCGGTTAGTTAGTACCGGTTCCTGGAAGATATTATACTTAAAGTGAATTTTTATTTTTGTCCAATATGACCATTCTTTTTTTTCTTATTGCATTTTATAATTACTTCAATTAAGGTCTTAATGCATATATAGTATCCTGCTAAAAATGTGCTTTTTATGTAATCACACAAAATTTTGGGTATATCAAATCGAGTTTTCGACAGAAACGCACTTTTGCATTGACACTATTAGTTTTTAATATGAAAGTTTACTAAAACCAACTTGAGTAAAGTATTAAGAAAGCTAGCAGAAAATATAACGCAGTGTATAGCTTGTAACTTACAAAAATATGTTTTAAAATTCTAAAAATTTTGCAAATGCCCAATCAATAGACTTTCATACTAAAAATTAATTTTTCTCAATCCATTGACAAGACTCCAATCTCAGTAGGTATTCATGATTGAAGTTGTATATTACGATATATAATTTTATGAGAATTCTACATTTTATTGAAAGCAAAAATTTAAATAAAAAACTTTTAAACCAAAATTACCTACAATATTTTAAAGATCCAAACTGAGATATTTATACTTTAACATGAATTTCAATTAAATTTAAATTATTATTTAAATAAAATTATTTGCCAACTACTGATTCTTACTTCAAAATTATCTTCATAAAATATGCAAATTATATATAATTTGTATTAAAGTCAAGCTATAATTTTTCGTTATAATATTTATAATAATAAATTTTCAGAATATTTAATAAAAATTTTGGAGTCCTTGAGCGCAAAATAATGTCATTTACTATACTGTTAATAAAAGGCAAAAAAGAAAGAAAAATATTTCTTTTAAATTCATAAGAAATGAATCCATTATAGAATTTCATTTTTTATAACAACTTAGTAGTAAAAGGCAATAGAAGTTTGTACTTTAGTCCTTTAATATTTTACTGGAATATATAAAAATTCTGTATATACTTATGTCATATATACCTACTTGTGATAAAAATTATGAGCTTGAACTGAATATAAAATTAATTTTACTTATTTCTTCCTGCATGTCATTATTTTTCTTTATTAGCAATGCCTTTACCATCTACATATTAGTCGTGTTTCTTAACACACATACACTTGAACACATATTATTATTGTATGCACATTAAACCACTATTTTGCCTTGAAAACTTGCTTATATTTTTTTTTTCTTAGAAAAAACAAAAAAAAATAAAAAACCAAAAAAGTATTCTACTTAGACGTGATGAAAAATTAAATGCAATAAGAAAACTTGAAAAAGTTCATGATCAACACATACCCTTTAAGAAAAGAAAAGAAATAAAATAAAAAAGAGCATAAAGAAACTTACTAGGAAAGCTAATCTGAATGCTGATATCAGTGGGTTGGAAAATGAGTTTTTTTTTT